TGCAGTCTCAAGTTCCAAGCTGAAGTCATGTGTCTCACAGTGACCTAGTCTGTTGAGAATAGTAGTGAGCTGTCTACTGCGGTACATGTATCGTATGGTGGTGCCCAAAAGGATGTGTTTTGATAACTTCCACTCTCCTTTTGTTACAGCTCGACAGATATCCTGCAAAAAGAAAACAAAAATAAGAGAAACTGGAATGACTCAAAACTATTTAAAAATTATCGAGAACATTATTATTAAGACGTGTCAGACTTAATATTACATACCTGGCCAATTGAAAGCACTATAGGTCTAGTCTTCTCACATATACCCATGTCAGCATCACCAGAGATCATGATATTAAGAAACTTGACTAACTCAGCGGGAAGAAGTGCATCTGGTGAGTGCAACTCAAGATCATCTGCTGTAGGAGGCCAAAGAAGTGGTTGTAACTGATTGAACGTTTGATTGATTTTAGTACGAAGAAGCCTGGCCACTTCATGGCATTTGTCTTTTGATCCAAGCTTGTATGCAGATGTCACTGCATCTGCAACAGACATGTTGGTACTGTACACCAGGTTATATGTGATACAGCCTTCGTCACCTGGATTGACCTTTGCAAAGGCGATTGATTTATGAATGTCATGGTTCTCAAGACAAGCCTTTAGCTTCTCACTCCTATAAACTGGATTAGCAAACCCATGTCTTTCCAATTACATAGTTATTGATGAAATCAAGTACAGTATTGAAAGACTTGAGATGAGCATCAGCGATGCGACCTTGCTCTGTGTTGTACACATAGCGAGATGATTGGGATTTATCACGCATGTGATTAACATACTGCAAATTGAATGACTTGCGACATGACTGGTGGGAATTTGCCTCTCGTTCAAACAAGTATTCACCTTGCACCATCCGATGGAGACTGATATTCCCCACTTCTAGTGCTCTAGACTCTATCTGTTTCCAGGTTGGTTCATAGAGGGTTCCACTATTGTCCTTAAATACAGAGAATTTACTACACCGCTCAGTTTTTCCTGATACTTTAACTTCCTGCTTTCCACAAAAGATACATTCTGGAGGGAACATGTACATGACAGAAGATGGTTTTCGGGGAGAACGTGATGTTGACGCCTCATTAGATGGCATATTAGAACTCTTCAGACGATCTTTGTTTTTAGTGAAGTTTTGGTAGCCGCCTCTGTGATAGCCAATTTGGTCTAAATTAACACCAACAAGACTTCTTGGAATGTTACTGCATATATCATCCATTCTATTTCTTGAATCTCTGAGTTCACAAAGTCGTTTGTCACGAATATCATGCAGCTGAGCTAGCTTGTCTGTTGCAGATCCTTTAATTTTACTA